ATGCTTTTCTAACAACAGCCTTTCAGAGGATGGCAGGTGTGACATAAATAGCTGATTAAATTGAAATAAAAAATATTATTGATTATCTAAGATGACAGAGTAGTTTGATGTATCCCCATGGTCATCAAAATTAGCAAACCACTGCTGGTGTAAGGAATACAGTTCAAATGACTCTTGAAAAATAATAAAATGTATAAAGTTCTAGTTTTATTAACAATGCTACTGAAGAAAATTTGATTACTGTTGAAGGTTATTTGTATTGTGAAATATATTATGAAAAAGACGGGTTTTATTTTCGTATATCACGTTTAAATGTTTAGTTTTACATCTACATGCTTATTATCTGTGAATTTTTACTACCATATGCTTAATATACTGTTTTGTCAGCTAACTTGAAATTACATGCACTAAAAATCACGTTTACGGCCCGGCTTCATCGGAGCTTGGCGAGTAAAAATTACAACAGCGCCAACGGGTTCTCTGCGGATGAAAACCCCAATTTTCATCTATGTCTACATGGATAAAGCCATTTTTCAAATCTAGTATCGTGAAGACTTTTGACTGTTCTAAGCGATCAAGTACTTCCGGAATTAAAGGCAATGGAAACTTGTCTTTAATAATCTTCTTATTTAATTTCCGATAATCTATACATAAACGTTTCGAATAATCACGCTTATTACACAAAACATAGGCGCTGCATAATTAGAATTGCTAAGCTTTATTATGCCCTCTTTCAACCATTCCTTAATTTGATCGTCAACAATTTTTTGTTCCGCGAAAGACATGTATCTTCTATTTTGACAGAGACCGGAATATCATCGCATAAATTTATTTGCATCTTGAAGTCAGATTGTCTATTTTTCCGAGGCTGGTACGAATTAATTAAATTACACAGTCTTTCTTTATGTTCTGCATTCAAAATATGCGATAAATCAATCTCGTTGACAGAAATAGCATTCACCAGATGCGAAAGGTAATTAAACGTCGAGCTACTTCCGCTTTCGGGACTTTTGTTTACATTAACGGAGACGTCAGACGACTGAGAAAGATCATAAACATTCTTCAATGACACAGCAATATTCAAATTTCCCATAACGCAACGAACGTTAGAATTTCGAGATGACTCAGCAGTTATCAAGCTTACATTACTTTTATTCCGATGAGAAATTATTTGAAGGCCATTCTCGGTAAAAGAGAAGTTAAACTGACTCAATACATCCAAACCTAATACAATTTGATTACATAATGACGTAACAACATAAATTTTCGTACGAAGTAAAAAACCATCAATTGAAATATCAGAAATGAAAAAGCCGATGGGGTACGTTTGCTTTGATTCAATTCCGTTTAGTGTGATATCGCTACAATTTAAATTAGGAGAACCAATCTGCTTGTGTAACTCTACGCTGCATATCGTTACATCTGAACTAGTGTCAACTAAACTATCAACTAAATGATTATTTATTTCTACAGTCTTCATAATTCTATCCTTGTCAGAAATTCGTTGTAATAAAGCTGCTTGTTGTGTCTCGGGGTTCCGCTCTGGACAGTTCGTTGAATAATGCCCGAACTTCTTACATTTTATACATTTTACACCCTTCGATTTGTTAACACAATGCTTTGAATAATGCCCAAATTCCTAGCAATTAAAACATTTGACCTTACTAACGTTAGATTGATTTCGGTTTGATGACGTAGGCTTACATCTATCTTTAACTTGAATGTCTACTTTCGGTTTCGGATTTTTAAACTTATCATTGTCCGATCTCATTTTATCATAAATTTTAAGCCTTTGTTTAAATTCAGATATTGCTTCGCAACCATATATAGTTTTCCTAACCACAGATTTTCCTAACCACAGAATCGAGAATACCATCAATAACATATTTAATTAATGAAGCATCTTCAATGTTACCTCGCGAACACACATTTCTTTCATTTTCAAAAAATACACATTTAAAGATTGATTAGGCATTAATTTACGCTTACATAACATTTCATGCAATTCAGCAGAATTAAAAGCTTTACCATATTCAGATTTCAAAAGCTTTTTTAATTTACACCAGTCATTAACTTTAGGTTCACTCTGAATAAATAGTTTCGCTTTACCTTTTTAACGATCTTTTAGCAAAAACTAATTTATGCAAATCACTTGATTTCAAAGAATTTATAACATCTTCAAATTCATCAATCCATTTATCAACATTTTCATATGCATTACCAGAAAAAGATTAAAAATACTTTCAATATCAGAAAAACTAAGATGAGGTTTAAAATGATCTTGAATTGGAAGCTGCATACTATTATTTACTTGAGACTCATTAAAACCAGGATTGTCTCTTTGATTATCATCAAGCATTACTTCAGAAATTTTATTAATAGTTTCATCTTCAATATCACTATTTTCTTCATGCAGAATATTTTCAAATAATACAGACAAATCACATAGGAAAGAGACAATTCGGGTTACGACTTCCGATTTCAAACCTTCTGAATTTATGCACAATACACTGCAAACTTTAATTAACTCATTCAAAGTAAAACTATTCTGCACTGTATATATTTTCTTATTAAATTCTTCAGATTCTGGTTTAAATATAAAGCCAGAAAATTCACGTAATCTTTTCCGGTTATTTCGGTCTCCATCAGTATTAAAAATAAGCTTATGCAAACTTTTGATTTCAGAACTTTTACTGTTCTTTAAAGCTGCTTCCAATTCTAGAATTTCTACTAACTTCATATTGCAAAGAAAGTTTTGTACTCACCCGACAGATGATCGTCGTCAATTGGGTAATCCACACTTTATATGCGTAATCCAATAAATCGAATAACTTGTGAGAACAGTTCACTCAGTCAGTTCACAGTTCAAAGCCCAGTTTTAGTTTTACTACTCGCACATTTTGGAATTCGAGGCGGCACGATTGTTCGCCATATTTTTTTTGTAGAATTTGACTTAACTCAGAGAATTGAGAGCACGGATATTTAATATTGGTTTAATAAGATAAAGTAAGTAAAGATGAAGTTAACGGTATGCAGGATTAACATAATGATGTAGTCCTTTTTTACACAAACATTTTAATAGTATGATCGTCTAGAGTCATCACAGCTAAAGGCATAACATCAAAAGCACAATCTAAATTCATAAACTCTTGAGGACGCGTGAGCCGTCTGGTCACGTCTGCCCTCCGCTCTCGACCAGGTCTCAGCGCTGTCTGGGATGATTCTTACTGCTCTGCGCTGGGTGATGCTATACTGATTACGTCACAACGGGCAATTCTAATTCAGCATCGGGCATTGGTGAATCCCACATACATATATACTGTAAGAACACAGTAAAGTATTTTTACGTTTTTATATTTTTTTACGTAGTTTCACGTTTTTCGTATTTAAGTATTTTCACGTTTTCAACACAACATTAAGGGTTAACACATTATAGAACAATAGTGTTTAAATGCAAAACAAATCATATCATTTACGACAACTATTTGTTGTTGATAGGCCATCGGAGTGGCACAAAAAAAAAAAAAAAAAAAAAAAAAAAAAACATCATACCTGAAGGGCAAGGTATCTCTTTTCCTAAAGTTTTAGGAGTTATATCCAGCGGGTGTGTGGCTGCAAGTACTGTTTCTGAAAAAGAAAGTGAGCAAAAGCCAAGGAAAATTCTTAAAGCTAAACATTAACGTTGGGCGTCACTTTGTGAAGGGGTCGTTTTAGATAGGGTCATAGAATAGCCCTGTATAGTGTAACAAGTATTTATTAACAGGTTTAAGCTACACACGAACATTACATTTAACTTTAACAAAATTACACAGCAACAATCTGATACAAACTATCAAGTGGGAGCCTTGGCTTTTACTGAAGTACTTCTCTGCTACTCACCAGAGGGCAGCCTTGTTGTCACAGTTAGTCCAATAGTTTATGTTAAAGGACTGGTTACAGTACTAGAATTTTCCAAAAATTTAGCTTCGCGAATTGTATGGTATATTTATACTTTATTATCACGTAAAAAATTAATAATATAATTGAATTATATAAATTTAAAATGTATTCTTTGATTATAAACACTCCACAATCAATTAATACAAAAACATGCAAGCATTGTATATTCCTATCACGATGAATAATTAATACATGCTAAAACGTGCATTGATTTTTAATCGAAAAATACTTTTATGACGGTGAACATATTTTTGATTCTTATAGATTTGGTACGAAATTTCAAAAGTATGGGAACCTCCGCTCTAGTTAAAAATACAGAACTCAACATCTTATGTTTAAAATGGCCTGTTCAAAATGAAAAACTCGAATAGAAAAGTATTATTTCATATGAAATTAACGCCATACAGAGATTTGTGTGCTTATTTAAATAATGGAAACTTAATTATTCCTGATGTAGCTACACATTAGTTTTTACTGGATCTCTTGCACTCAAGTCTTAAACAAATACTTTCCTCAAACAACAATGTTTTTTATTTTGCCTTAACATGAAATCCACAAATTAAAACAACAAACACCTCGAAGAAATGAAACAAATACAGTGATACAGATAATCGGCATATACACTAGAACAGGCAATATGTGCAATGCAAAAATAAATACTGTGTACTAAAAGTGAACAGACGTTGCAAGTGACAAAAGTAATGCAATACAGTAACCTGGAAGGATAGTTTTCATTGTAGTAAGGTATATGGTAGTCATATAGTAAGATACAAAATTATAATACTTATGATTTAGTTTTCTTCTTTTAAATGTGTTTAACGTGTTATATTGTAGAGACGTTAGGTATTTTTTTGGAAGCAGGAGACTTGAAAAATTAGCAACGCCTTGCCCGGGAATCGAACCGCGGACCTCTCAATTACGCGCTGAACGTGCAGGCTAAGAAGGCGAGAGAAATACCTTATAATATAATCCTAAGTGATAAATACTTACTAAGAATTTATTGTCATATGACAAATTTTAATCAGTGTGTTAATGTTTATACTTTTGTTTTGATATGATAGGTTGCCCAACAGCTTACTATCATTTGAAATCCGATGACATGTGTGTCACCCATTCAAGTCAATCCATTTTTTTGGGTAGTTATGAAAATTTTTGTCAAGGAAAAAATAATGGAGTTCCTATCTCGAAACGCATAAGTGACGAAGGACTGAAAGAATTGGCTTCAGAACTGAAAATATATGCTGAAGCAACAATGCCTCCGAAGGCATACATAGGTAAAATTTTTGCATCATGCTTTTATATAACTAGTATAACATAATAATTTATAACGAAATGAAACAAAAAGTATTTATTTCACTTAAATGACCTTACTGGTTTCATTATAATTGGTTAAAATCATACGTCTATGAATCTTAAAATTTTACATCTTTAATGTGTGAAATATTAAATAAAGTATATATTCAACCTCTTCTTTAAAAAATGGATTTTTATCAAACGTACTCCGCATTTCCTCAATTTGAATTCTATTTGTATTTACTGCTTCTTCAAAATGAATGATATTATCAAAGTTGCGCGTTGTATAATTTTATAAAACGATATAGGAATGGAGTATATCATTTTGCTTTATTTGACTTTTATTTGTATATACAGTTGCACTAATTGTGTTATATATAACAGAGCAATAATTTTTCTAACTAAACGAAAAAGATCCGTCATCTAATATGTATTGCGCACTTATCGATGAAATCTTAACATTAATCTGTCATGTAATCTGAAATGGAATTCGGTGTAAAAAGTTAATTGCGTCGCAACTCCCCCTTCTTCTTCGCTCTTCACTTCTGCTTCTAGAGTCTAGATGCATGTGTCGCCTTGCCGCTAGCTACGCAGAGATTACTTTTCCAATTTTCTTCCATTATTTAAAAAATGTAAGCTGTACAAAATTGGGGGCTGCATAGCGCACCCACAGTGATTATGTGCATTATCAAGGAATACAATTATGTGTGGAATTTACCGCCAAGTCATCTTTATAACTACGCAGTAAAAGTTCTTCAAGTTATAATGCAGAGAGCCATCGTCAATCCGTTGCAACTTACTTTCCACCAAGTCAACTTATTACAATAATGGAGCAGCAGTTATATTATATATAACGGGTGGCCGTAATTAAACTGACAATGCTCACAGTGTTCTGTAGCGTGATCTAGTTTCGAGAATGACGCCACATTTTGTAGGAAGATTAAACAAGACGTGGGACAAAGGATTCCGCGAAAAAAAATTAGTTCCAAAAGTCACCGCTAGGGGAATATTTCGCCCTGTGTAATAGAAAATAGAGTGTTAACAAATGCAAATCAATACGGAAATTACCTTTTATTTTGCATTCAAATGAGGTTCAATGTGGGTGCCGTTGTTGTGGACCATATATTGCATTCTGTGCACAGTATGCACAACAGCAGAAAGTAAAATGTCTGCAGGAATCTCCCGTACAGTCCGTGATATGTTATCCTTCAACGTAGCCAGGTCCTGGACCACTCCTTGATAGATCTTGGACTTAAGGTAACCGCATAGCCAGAAGTCACATGGTGTATGATCAGGCGACCGAGGTGGCCATGCAGTTTCAAAGTAGCGGCTAATGACTCTTTCTGTTGTGAATTTCTGTCGTAGCATCTGTTGCACCCGTACAGCAACGTGTGGAGGGGCTCCATCTTGCATGAAAATGATTTTCCCCAGGCATTGTCTTTGTTGAAGTGCCGGAATGACAAAGCTGTTCAACATGTGGCGATATTTCTCTCCGTAACAGAACAGGTTTCCGGTCCTGTCGGGGTAATGTTCTCATAGAAGAATGGACCTACGATAAATTTTATTCCGTATTGATTTGCATTTGTTAACACTCTATTTTCTATTACACAGCGCCAAATATTTCCCTAGCGGTGACTTTTGGAACTAATTTTTTTTCGCGGAATCCTTCGTCCCCCGTCTTGTTTAATCTTCCTACAAAATGTGGCGTCATTCTCGCAAATAGATCGCGCTACAGAACACTGTGAGCACTGTCAGTTTAATTATGGCCACCCGGTATATTTACTTGTCTGCAAAATTTAAGCACAGATTTATTTGTTACGGCGTAATTCTGTAAAACCTCACATGGGGGTGGTACCATGCATTTCGTACTTACAAGAAGAAAAAAAATTAGGGCAAAAATATGCATAGTAGGAATATTATAAAAGTAGCAGTAGTATCTAGTAGAAATCAAGCGGGAAGGGGCCTTATAGGAAGATTGCCTTTACTACAAATGATTGACTGCCCAGGAGAAACAACAACAAGCAGATGTTCCTAAGTAGTAGATATGACCTCTCTAAATGCGATGTTTGAGTGGCAGCATCTCTTCATACACCACACCAAATAATCTAATTGATCTTGAAGTAAATGTGCCCGTTCCTCAATGAGCATCTCTTAGTATTATTCTGTTAAAGCCATACCATGCCATTTTCGGAATAGCAGCATCGGAATTTGTGTGTTTTTGTGTATTGTGAACACGAGCCAGCTTTCCTTTAAAATGTCTTCCACAATGGCATTTATCCCCTTAAGCAAATAGATCTCTAGTGCTTTTCCATAATCTAAATAATCCTAACATTACTAGAATGAAACCGTGCCTCTACCTCACACCATATTGAAGATGCCCGCAATCTCTATGCTCTTTATGCTTGTTTAAACGACGCCGTCGATAAGAAACCGTTAACTGAATTCATCATTCAGGACGACAAACGAATAGGTCACTTTTACGAAGTCGTCTGGCGACAGTACACCGCAACCACTTGCCGCCATGCTGACGTACGCAGCTGCTGAACAATATTGCCCGTTGATTGATGGATTCCTACTATATATACTCTGTCACAAAAGAAAGATATGCACCCAAAAGTAAATGAACTACTATCACAAAACTTAACACGTAGTAGGATATGAGGAGATAAACAAATTATTAGAAATTCGGAACAAAAGACCGTTTTACTAAGAAGTTATGACATGAAAAAGATTACAAATCATTAAGCAGTATAGCCACCTCTGGCAGCTATACAAAACGAAACATGTCGTGGCATTGAATCAAATAGGTCACCTATGACCCCCTGCGGAAGACAATGCCATAATCTTCGCTACTGGGCAGTAAATTAACCAAATACTAGGACGGCTGCAGTTGTCTTCCAAGCAGGTCTCAAACATGCTCTATTAGCTTATTAGCGAGAAGTCTGGAGACCTGGCAGGCCACGAAAGTACGTCATATCGTCGAAGACATTGTTGGAAGAGCCGCGCAGTATATCGACATCCATGTAGGTCCATCCATGTAGACAGATTTGTCTTGCTGATGAATGGCACCTACGCGCCTTGAAAACACAGGCAATAAAGCCGGTGTTAAAATGTCATTCACGTAACTGTCAGTCATCATAGTGCTTTGAACGACGAGAGGTGATCGTATGTCCAACATATCGCTCCCTATACTGTCACACTTTGTGTAATCGCCGTATTCTGCTCGACAACTAACGCCGGATCGGACCGCTAGCCTGGCCGCCTCCACATGCGTGTGCGTTGGTCATCAGCATTCAGACTGAATCGGTATTCATCGCTGAAGATCACACGCCTCCAGCTGGTCATACTCCAGGTTGCTCGAGTTTGGCAAAAATCCAATCGACAATGCATATGATGTGGGGTAGCGGTAGGCGTGGACGTCGGCAGCATACAGCAGCGTCGGCTAGTCGTCTTCGAATGGTTTCCCTTGATACTTCCGGATACTTGGAAGGTGGTAAATGGCGTCGAATCGATGCTAGCGACGTTGTTGGTGCGGAAGTGGCAGCTCTTATAATTGTGCAATAATTGCGCTCGTTCCTGTTCCTGGAATGCCCTGATCCTCTTTGATCTATTGTCGCAAACGCCTAGCAACGACCAAATCGCTCCGACCGAGGTGGCGGCTGATACGCCTGTTCCACCAACTTGCCTTTCTGAGGACTACTATACGCCCCTTCTCAAAGTCCGACAACTGTTCGCACTGCCGCTGATTACGTCTCAGAGGCATCTCTAATCACAATACCGTCCATCCATGTAGACAGATTTGTTTGAATGACCCTACGACACAAGCAGTCATGCTTTTAAACTCTTCCAGCTGCGCATCTCATATGCGCATAGCGCACTTACTCTTGTCTCATTGGCGTCGAAATTTAAATCATTTGCATGTTTCTTACCAGACTAAATTCTTGCCGAGTTTCGTGATTGTGGCTCAATTTCTTCTGGGTGCATATATTTTTGTGACAGAGTGTATATTGGTCTCTTTTGGTCTTCAGAACATATACCGGTCATCTACTGACATTTTTTTTTTTTTTGATGACCACTATTAACCTTTCTCACAGTGGTATTGGTATCCTGTAAGGCTTTCCAGGTACATACGGAACTGCGCTCGATATCGAATTCTTCGGTTATACTATCATACTACAACCATTCTCAAGTTTACTAATATTTTTTGTATGTGTTAAGTCTCTCAGATGTACCTTTAAGTTATGCTACACGTATATCTCAAGTGGACTTGTAGCATACATCTTTAAAAACTGCCTTCCTTCTGACTTTTCTTATATTCGTGCGCTCCGTATGTTTACTAAGAGCATTGTACACACTCTCATGTAATCTGCGACATTTTATTTTCGATCTTTGCATACGTGTCAACTCTGCACTGAACTGGGTGCATTTTTAACCTATAATATAGAAAAGGTTAGAATACTTTCATTCAAATGTATTAGCATATACTCTATAAAGGACTTGTCCAAAACCCCAATATGGGACAAAATTAAAACTGAGACCCAGATTGTACAATCCTTATAAAATCACGGCCATTAAGCCGAACAACTGATATGACGTTGAGAAAGCTTGATGTTACAACGGACTAAGCAAGACGTCCACTGCAGTTCTACATAAAGCTATGGGCTACATAGCACCCCGGGCACTGCACTTAATATTCTCTTTTGTTTTTCAGTCTTTTGTGTTGCTGTTGTTTTTCCCTTTTAATGTTTCTATATGCTGTAGAGGCTGATGATGTACGAAGTGCTGATGTTCTGATTGCGAAGTCGCAATCCACTGAAGGATGATCGAAGATGTGGGATGCCTCTAATCCCCACCGAAAGTGGCGTATCATCACCTTCTTGCTGAAACCACCTTCCGTTGGGAAAACGCAGTGAGTGGCCGCTGAGGAAAGACAGAGTGCCATGCTCTTGACGGAGCAAGATTACAGGCTATGTGTAGATAGCCTCCGATAATTCAGTCTCGTTCGCAATTCAATTAATTAGGGACAATCTATGTGTCATGAAAAACTGTCAGATGTTATCCACTCCAATTGCGCGTGCAATCATCAGTTATGGTCACATCTACTTTTTATCTACTCTGTAATGTCTTAAACACCCACTGTACATAAGCATCAATAAGCATGTATATTTACAAGCTGAAATTCTTCCTTAAGAATTTTAGAAGACTCTCACACATATAAAACAAGCGCAAAGAGGGAAAATATATGCTTCGTTTACAGTACATGCGTACGAACTATTTAATAGTATTTGTGCAAAGATCTTTGGTGGCATAATAATACTATTTTTTCTGTTATGTTGCCAGCCATAACAGTGCAATCAACTATACAACGCAATCGAACTTATTTACCACGCCACTGCTTAAGTCATCCCTTTGAATTAAAAAAAATCATCACGTATGTATTAAAGTGTTTTCCATCTTTAATTTTTAATGTCTGCTACAAAGGTGCAACCTCCCTGACATAAGAGCAGCCAAAGCGTTTTCTTCTTCAATTACAAGAGTGCTTAATATTTTATTGAACATATCATATTTGAGTCTCACTTAAATACCCTTTCCTTTTAGGTTAAAAAAATTATGGTAAAAAGTGTGGAAATTTTACAAATAAATATTGTAATATCTTCTCAAATATGTATAAAATATAAGAATAAATCTCAATGTAGGGGGTCTAACTCATTGCAGCAGTTTTGATTAAATAGTGCTGTATCATTCTTAAGAGCAGACTATTTAACTGAAATACAAATATAAATAGTAACATGAATGTATTATGGTGTTTCAAAAAAGTCTTTGTAAGTTACATTTAATTTTTTTATATATCTGCATATGCCTTACATTTTAGTCATTCTTTCTTAATTTTTAACAAAATAATATGAAGTACGTATTTTCCAAGTATATAAAAAGTATCCATTCCTCTGTTAATCATCAAGAAATTATTATTCTATGATTACACATAAATTTCTTTTAAAACTGTATTAAACATCTGACGTCCAATCTAAATTAAAAGAAAAATCAAGAGATATTGCTGCATCATCTCAAGCATCGTTGAAGACAACGTTTTTGGCCTCTGAAGAAAAAATTTCGGTAGAACTGTTTCTATGAGAATGCGTATTTAGGAAAATTTCCAGTTTTTTTTAACGTTTGCCAATCCGATAACTTCTTTACACATATTAATTACATTTAATATGATGTTATCTCTGCGATGTTTAAGCTATATGATGTTTCATAGCTGCATTCTTTTATAATAGATATTTAAAGTATGATCTGGTGTTTGCTAGCGTTCAAATCGACCTTTTTTCCAACAACAGATATTTGAATTCTGATAGGCCAAGTTGCTTGTTGCGAAGATGTTTTAAGCTGCTGAGAAATTTTATAGTTGCTTTCTAAGTAGACATAATTTAATTTTGTAGTGCAATTTCTACCACGTTGTTTTATATCACGATGTTTCGTTAGAATTGTTGTGTTTTTGCTCTTGCTTACTTTTCTACCTTGATGTTTCTCAGGACAATGTTTTCTCCCAGCAATATTTTCTCTACGACGTTTATGTTCGTGATATTATCATTGGTAAACTATTTTAAAGAACTACACCGTTATTTGCAAGAAATGTTTTCCATGACCTGAATTGAAATGAAATATTAATATCTTTTACAGCAAGAGCAAAACTGAAAGTTTTTAATAACAGAAAGCATTTTTCAAATTCTTTAGTATATACTCACATCTTTTATCTTCTACAACAGCAGCTGACTTTTTAACCTCAATTTCATTCAGAAACATTTTCCTGTGAAGCCGTTTAACTGCATAGATAACGTTTTTATATATCCCTTTAGTTGTTGGAACAAGGAAATTGTGCTGGCTAATTAGCATTTCAGATCAATATAGTCGGAATTAACGAGTTATTAACGAATTAACCAACTTTCGCTACATTTATCTCGTAAGGTTATAACACTGTCTATTCAGACTGAAGAGTTAGTTACGAGTTAGAATTCTGCTGTATTTTTTAATTAAAATGTTAAAACTTTGGCCATCGTTAACTAAATTGTTACAAGAAGATGACATTTAGACGATCATCAAAGAAACTAATTTTGCGAAAAGGATTAAGATCGAGTTAAAATATATGAATATAATAGGGGGACCGGAAAGTAATGTCGTTTCTGCGCATGCCGACAACAACATGCTAATGGCAGAAGTGGAAGCAAATCCATGTCAAACACTCTTAACCAACCTTGGTCAACCATCCAAGAACATTTAAAGCAGAATGGAAAAATAAGCAAAGCAGGTGTATGAGTCCCCCATAATCTGTCCGAAAAGAACAAAGCCAACCTATGCATCAGAAGCAACGTATTACTTCAACGGCACCATACAGAACCGTTTTTTGATCGTTTGATTAGTGGAGACAAAAACATCAGTCCTATATGATAATCCAAAACTCAAAAGGCAGTTTTAATAGGGGTTACAAAGGGTTTACATCCCGAAAAGGCGCTTCTGGGTGTTTGATGGAGTATTCGCGGAATTGTTCATTTTGAATTGCTGAAACTTGGAAAAACTGTTAATGTAGACCTATATTGTGAACAATTGGATCTAATGAACCAATCTTTAATCGAAAAATATCTGGCGATTATCAACGGAAAAGGCGTCATTCTGCAACACGACAATGCAAGACCGCACTGTGAAAGACGAACACTGGAAAAATATAAGGAATTGGGGTGGGAGGTACTGCCTCACACACCATATTCGCCCGATATCACACCCTCGGATTTCCATTTATTCCGATCCCTACAATATTTTTTTAGTGACAAAAAATTTAAAAATTTGGATGATGTCCAAAATGCCATCTCGAGATATTTTACTCAAAAACCAATTGATTTTTATCGGTCTGGGATTGAAATCGGCAGACTAGATGGCAAAAGGTTGCTGATAACGAAGGTGTTTATATTATTGATTAAAAATAAAAACTTGTTACAAATTTATTCGTTTGAATTTAATGTAAGAAAGCGACATTACTTTCCGGTCCCCTATTAGAACAGGCAATCGCTAATTATTTTATATTCGTAAAGAGTAATCATTTTATTCTGTTTTTCTTTTTTATAGGATTGAAAAAAGATGATCAGATGGGATCAAAAAAATGGATTTTTTCCAACGATCAAGGATCCGTCGAGGAAGATGATTACTCTCTTTGGACTCGCAAGCCATATATGAATGAGCAATGTGCAACCGTCATGCCCTCAGAAGATTACAAAGTTCAACCTGTCGCCTGTAATGAAAACGCAAGACCACTCTGTGAAAAGTCTGGACCTCGTAAGTGGTGATTTTGCGTTTTAATAGGTGCTAAATAAAATAAAATTAGCATAATATTTTAATTAATATAATTTAAATCCTCTGACTGACCTTTTCCTACTTGTTTTACGAACAAGAGGAACTGAATAAACCTATTAAACGACTTTCTTTATTGGAAAAATACGCTGAAAAAGGGCTATTGTTTTGCATGCTGTTTTAGACGACATCACATAGTGGAGATTTATGTGCACTACAATTTTATTGTCTTTCTTTTTACTAATACAAATTTTCGATGGAAGATGCAATTACAAAACAGCTCTTCAGAATGCTCAATGTGCAGCATCATTGTCTAGAGCCTGATATGATGCAATATTCATCCTGTATCGTATAGTCTAGAACAGCGGTTCTCAACCTTTTGACTCACGCGTACCATCTAAACCAGCGGTTCACAACCTTTCGACTAACGTGTACGTGTACGAACTTAAAAGAAAAAATTGAAAACCTTTAGTACCACCACTACAAAGTACTACTACCACCACCACTCTTGAACAAAGCTCAAATCGCATAAATTTACGAGTGTTAGAGAAAAAGCTCAATCAGGATGCCGGGGCATTAATTTTTGGATTTAATAGTTAAAAATACTTTGCTTCTTTGCCTACCACCGGTTGAGAAACACTGGTCTAGAATCAGGTTGCTAAATTAGCTGCACGCTTGGTTCGGTGTTGTCGGGTGAAGGTATCAATTGAAAACTTTTCGGATCCTTTCAATTTGAGATGTATACATGTATACGTATAAACATGTAAGGTAGAGAATATGCTAGGTAAAATAGCAATTTTAATCTGATACGGAAGATAAATTCTAACTTTCATTTGTAATAGTAACTCTTTAATGCTCCTTTTTAATTATATTATTTTCCTTTTTTATCCTAAAAATAGTAATGCGCGTAAAATTAATCTTTCTTAAGTGCGTCATTTCCAAACTAATTCCTATCATTTGATTCTTACATAACGCTAATGATGCACGTATTTACATAATGGAAAACGGGCAAACGATGTCTTTTATCCAATTATAATGATAAATTTGGAAACCAAACATTTAACCAACTAATGGGGAGGTGGAAATCAGACCCATAACTTTTATATTTTTTATCTAGGATTGATATCATAATCTTTGCACTTGAGAACATATCGGCCTCCACTTTTCTTTTTGACAATACTGTAAATATAGGAACAGTAGTGTCTGTAGTGTTATTAATAACAGCAAAATATTTTCTGTCAGCCTATTTTATTTTCTTAATTTCTTGAAAAATATGTCTTTTTTTATGTCTGTTTCTCATCCATATTTTCTTTTCCTGAGATACTTGCAGTATTTATATTTCCCCTGATGGTCCGATAACTCGCTTGTCAGTCTCGTAGGATCTGAAGAGCATTTATATTAGCATTACACAAGTATGGACCCTATACCTTCAGTAATGCAATATGGGATAACTGCTAGGTATAGCTTAGATGATTTTAACTACAGTTTTTTTTAATGCCATTACGGTCATTGACAAATTAGCTTTTAATTACTTTATTCTCTACTGATAGATTTATTTAAAACAAAATATGACAAACTAGTAGAAATTTCAAAATGAGATGTAGAACGTATCTTAACAGAACCATCAAGTTTATTTCGAAGCAGAAAACATGAAAACTCGAATTACAGATCTTCCCATTACTAGCCTGACTTGCTTCCAATTACACCAAGAAGGCACACGGTAAATAGGAAGAAAATTCCCACCATTCTCTTCCACTTGAAGGGCAGTTAGGGAGTAGGAAACCCAATCGCGATATCTATGTTTGTGACGATAATTATCGTTAACCCTATTTTAGTTCGGACGCTCTTTGTAGAGTCATTACGATTTTTTGGAACAGAAATCATGACATATCCGCTAGGATTCCATCTCTGAACTTCCAGGGTGCTAGCCAGGCATGCTTCCAATTACACCACGAAAGCACCTGGTAAGGAATGTAAAACTTCCTGCACGATCCGAATATAATCACAGTGAAATAGGTCTGCGCAGCTTTTTTCACATTACTAGGCGTTTTCAAAGTGCAAGGAAACTAATTCGCGTGTGTGATTTTATTTTATTTTATTTTTTAGATTAGTTTAATAGAATTTGAAATAATTTATGTTATCTAATTTGGCGTATATGTAATTTTTGTTTTTTATTCATGGAATATTTACAAATTTTTGGTTTCCGATGTAATTATTTATCACTCGTAACATCAACAAGTAAAATCAAACATATTTTAAACATAAAGTTAAATATTAAATTAATTATTAAATATAGTTAGTGGAAATTGTAATAAGAATTTCCAAATTGTCAACTTTTGCGCAGATATCTCTTTAACTGCATATGTCATAATAAACTTGAATATCGAGCAGATCTCTTTAGTTACATCTTTCAACAGATCATCGAAATCATAGCAGCGATTTCCATCATGATATTCAGACAATTAATGTTAGAAACAAAAATTATATCCATCATTTTTGCTTGTTCGAAACGACTAGTTTGTGGTGGTCTCGAGGCTTTTATGCTCGTTGCTCCTCCTTGGTCTGTTGTTGCTTGCTCGTATCGTAATCTAAAAAAAAATCTGATGTGCACACCACATGACTTCCTTGTACGGAATATTAAATTATACGCATTTTTTCTTGCATTTCATTTAAACTTATTGGATTGAATTAAATCTACTTCGTCGATAGCGCATAAACCACAGCAGAATAAATGTACTCTTTAAAATTCACTATACTTTGTTTATATATTTGTTTACCATAGAGACACTCTGGCGCTAGGTTCACTTAACAGCGTTATATTTCGTTCATATTCTAACTTATGACTTACTTTTTTCTGGTCATTAACTGCTAAAGAGTTTTCGCCAGTAGATCGCATTAAAGTGCACTAGGCAAAGATATTTCCAAATAAATGGTACTAGGGAAGTACCAACACCCGTGGGCGAAGAAAATTCAGCTGCGTGAGGAAGCATTACTTACGAAAGTAGGCGTTCATCATAAAAATTGTGCAGTGATAAGCAATGGCATTAAATTGAAGCATGCAGGCAGGTGCAGTGAGTTTTTTGGCAAATGCAGATGGTGAGTGCAATATAGCTAGTAAGAGTGCAGGATAAGCAGTAGTGAGACATCATGAAAATGGCGCGAAGACAGTTTGAAGCTGTGAATGGCATAAGAGTTCAAAGTCCTTCAGAAGTATGCAGTAGCTAGATAGGCTGTAAAAAGTTCAAAAGTTCGTAGAATCATACGATAAAGTAAAAATTCATACAAAATAATTAAAAAAATGAAATAGTAACATAAAAATCTTGAATAAAAAAGTTTCTTGGTTAACATAAGTATATATTCTAACTTTGACTTATGACTTACTTTTTTCTGGTCATTAACTACTAAAGAGTTTTCGCCAGTAGATCCCATTAAAATGCACTAGCCAAAGATATTTTCAAATAAATGATACTAGGGAAGTACCAACACCCGTGGGCGAGAAAATTCACCTGCGTGAGCAGGCATATCTTAATACTTACGAAAGTAGGCGTTCATCAAAAAATTGTGCAGTGATAAGCAATGGCATTAAATTGAAGCATGCAGACAGGTGCAGTGAGTTGGTATGGCAAATGCAGATGGTGAGTGCAATATAGCTAGTAAGAGTGCAGGATAAGCAGTAGTGAGACATCATGAAAATGGCGCGAAGACAGTTTGAAGCTGTGAATGGCATAAGAGTTCAAAGTCCTTCAGAAGTATGCAGTAGATAGATAGGCCGTAAAAAGTTCAAAAGTACGTAGAATAATACGATAAAGTAAACATTCATACAAAATAATTTTAAAAAATTAAATAGTAACATAAAAATCTTAAATAAAAAAAGTTTCTTGATAAACATAAGATGCAACACAAATAATAGGATAGAGTCCAATTTCAGAGTTCAAGTAAATTTTAAAATTAAAATTTACAAGTTACCACCATTACAAATTGTGATGAATTGTCCTTGGGCGTTTGACAGTTTATTCAATGGTTGGATCATAATCCAACATTTGTTTAATTGCGTTATACTGACTATGCTTCATCTTTTCGAAGAAGTTGTGAGCTGTCATGAGTATAAAGTTGTGCACAGATGGAATATCCAGGTCGTTATCCAGGTTTTTTTATAGAGTTTCTCACGTACCAAGTTGCATTCACAATGCTACGTAGAATTTTATTTTGAAGTATACCCAGTTTTTTGCGCTCAGTTTTATTGGCGATTGCCCAGGCCCGCACTGCATATAGCATGATCGGTCGAATTAGAGATATGTAAAGCATTTTCTTTATTTTTAGACTGAGCTTTGATTTTTTGCCCATAATAGGATAAATTGCCATGTAGGCTGCATTTGCTTTGTTTAAGATGTAAGAAATATGATCTTTGAAGTTGAGCGACTTATCTATGTAAACACCTAAATACACTGACTACCAATAAGTATTTGGACACCTGTGATAGAAAAGAAAAACTAACTTTATTCAAAACCAGTAGTTGGTAGAGCCTCCACGAGAGGTAATTACAGCGTGGACCCTCCGGGGCATACTTTCCAGAAGTCTTTATATGACAGCTATTGGTATTTTCTTCCACTCTTCTTGGAGAAGACATAGAAGTTCCTTCACCGATTTTCCACGGGTAGTGCACCCCTGAATTCGGGAATGCAACTCGTCCCAAAGGTTCTCGATAGGGTTCAGGTCTGGACTCTGGGCAGGCCAGTCCATTCGATGAACGCCATTGGCACCATACCAAGCCTTGGTTAACGTCGAAACATGACAACTGGCATTGTCGTCCTGAAAGTAACAGGGGTCCAACCCGTAAAACTGCCACAACGTAAGAAGTACATTGTCATCCAAAATAGTGCAGTAGGCATCGGAGTTGAGCTTACCATGAATGGGGACCAAGGGTCCCAGCCCATACCAAGAGAAACACCCCCAGACCATAATTCCACCTCCGCCGAACTTGACTG